TTTTAAATTGATGGATGGCAACGAATAGCTGGCTGATGGGCATGCTAATTGCCAAATGCCAACCTAATCCACACATTTGAATCTCTTTCTTTAATACCCTAATAATTGCTTAGGAAAATGATTCAAATATAACTTTATAATCTTATATATAAGATATATAATAATTTTAATTAATTTACAGAAGCGTAAGCCAATATGTAATTACTTATTGATGATCTTTTTTTTTTCTTTTTATACATTTACTCATGTCACGGCTAATAATTTTTTTCAAGTGGATATCATACGAATAACAGAAAAGTGAAAAGAATTGATTATCAATAAATGACTTCTAAAGTTGTATATAAAATTTTAGATAGGAGTAAATTTTCCAAAATTATTTTCTTTCCCTTTCTCATTTCATTGGATGATAGATTTGTACGCAATTGTATAAATTATTAGTATAAGGTGAGTGGTTTGGTCAACAGGTAGGGTAGGGTAGGGTAGAGTATGATAGGTTAATGTAATGGCAATGGCAATGAGAGGTATCATGTTATTGGGTCTGTGAAAGAATCGGTTAGAGGCTACAGGCAGGCAGGCAGGACGCCAGCCAGCCAAGATGCACTGTACGACAGTACACAGAAAAATAAACCCTCTTCCAATCCAACTTGCAGTAGCAGACAACAATTATACCGCTTTACAGCCCACAATTTCATCCATTTTTTATATTTGAATTCTCAATTCTAACCCCTCTTCCTCTTCCTCTTCCTCTTCTCGTAGATTCTTAATTTCCCCACTTGGCTTCTTCATCTTCTTCTTCTTTCTTCTTCTTCCCTGTGAATCATTATCGAATGAATGAATAGAGGGTTTGGTTTTTCTTTTCTGGCTTGGCTTGGCTCTACTACTACTACTACTACTACATACAAAAGAGGGTTTTGTGATGATTGCAATTCCAACTGGGTTTAGGTGGTTTGGTGGAGTGAGAGAGTGTAAGTGTTGTCGGCGCCGGGTCACTTTCTGTCTGTATCCAACGATGTTTCTTACAGATTATTCATTTTTATTTATTTGTATTCTTTAATTCTTTTACTAGTAGTATTCTCGAACATGGCTAGATAGATAGAGAGAAAGATGCTTTTTTGGACCCTGCCTGGACTTGTCTTCCTGTTCCGTTGTTTCTTTCTTTCATGATTCACACCTTACCTCCCCACTCGCTTCCTCCCTCCTCCTCCTCCTTCTTCTTATTACACCAATTGCTTCCGATCACTCTTGTCCTTGATTTTGTCTGGGTCTTGGTAGCTACCTATTTCTTCATTTTCAATGTGTGTGATTTTTAATTTGGGTAATTCAGATCTTTGGAGTTTTGTTCATTTTTTCACCCAAATGAAATGAAGCTGGGGATTCTCCACATCTGCCTGCATTTCCCCCTTGGATTACAGGTCTGAACTTGTAATTTTCATTTTCTGTTTATGTTTTAGATTGATTCCTTCCTCTTCCATTCTCTTTGGTTTTTGGTTTACCTATCACTCACTCATCTCAATCTCATTTCAGCTCTCTACTCCTAAATAAATCTGTTTTGCTGTTTTCTTGTCCATACCAAATAATACCACATACCAAATACCATATACATATTTATGTTGTGTTATGTTATGTTATGCTATGTTATGTATGTACAAGTATACAACTGAATCATAGATAACGATTCATCGGCTTTCAGTCTCCTTTTATTTCAGGTTCAATGTATAGTAAAATAATAAACATAATTTACTGAATAGCTACAGTGTTTCCCAAACCAAATGTCAAGGACTCTTGCAGCAATATTAGGAGGTGCTGCAGGAGCCGTGGCATTGGTGGGGATAGTTGGATTGCTTGTATGGTTCTGCCTATCTCAAAAGTGGAGTGTATCAAGAACTTCTGAGACAGGATCTTCTGATCCATCTGGTCAAGGTAAAGATTACTACTATATTCAATATTGCCTGTTTCTGATAACCAAACAACAACAAGTTTAATCACACATGGTTTAAGGTCTATTACAATGCCTTGCAGTTGGAAGACATGCCAGTGTTGAGTTATCAATTCCGGATGCCAGGCGCTTTGATATGGACGAGTTGTCTCTGGCCACAAAGAATTTTAGTGACAGAAATCTGATAGGGGAAGGAAAATTTGGGGAGGTATATAAGGGTTTGCTTCAGGATGGGATGTTAGTTGCCATCAAAAAGCGCACTGGAGCACCTAGTCAGGAATTTATTGATGAGGTTGCAATCTCTTCCCTTCTCTTATACCTAATCCCCAAATGCCGCCACCTTGTTAATAGTAAAACTGACATCCTCAAAACCAAAATGACTCTAAATCTTTCCCTGTATGTATTTAAGATTTGCTCTGGCTTGACACATTTCTACATTTGACTAACAATTTTGAGTCTCTATTCAAGATTTATTCAACACGGTATTTTATTGTTAGCTCAAGCATGTAGTAATAATTTTGTACAATCCAAAGTTCCAAACTCAACCCACTTGAAGAATTGGGTTGTTTGATCCATGTCACTTAACTCATTGTAAAGTATCTTCTTTTGTAATCTAGCTTGTCAAGACCTTTTACTTTTCTAAATGATATTTTCAATGATCTACTTTTGCCTGAGTTTGGTTTTGTTCTTTCAATATTTCTGCTTCTCTGATAGAAGCTATCTCTTATTGCTCCACAGTTTGTGTTGTGATCTAATGTGATTGATCTTGATCCTCAGGTGCGTTTTCTCTCATCTATTCATCACCGGAATCTCGTGACTCTCTTGGGCTACTGCCAGGAAAATAATCAACAGTTTCTTATATATGAGTATATACCTAATGGAAGCGTTTCCATTCACTTGTATGGTAACTCTCTATCCAGTCAAAATGTGTGTTTTCATGAGGGCATGTTCTATCCTATATAGACCAGGAAAAGTAATAATAATATACTTTTGATTTTATATTGAAGTCTCGACATGTTTCTGCAGGAGCTGGTCAAGTTTCACCTCAGAAGCTAGAATTCAAACATAGACTCTCAATAGCTCTAGGGG